CCTAGTTCCAGAAGCTAGCCAGGGTGGATTCTGTTCCTTCATTCTTTGGCCGAGTTGCCTAGTCCGATGTATTCCGCTGCACAGCAGCAAGAGAATGAGTAAACTAACATATTTTGGGCGTGGACAGGCACTCTATCCTTGAGATTAAAGAGGCACAAACGATTGCTGGTGAACCTGGTTCGGAGTGCTGCGGCCGGGAAATCAGACTGGTGGAGAGTCTTCTGTTCAGTAGATCGGCCGGTATATCTCCCTTAAACGGGAGGCTAATGTAAACTGGTATCCTTCCAGCTGTGGCTGTGGTGGTGTTTGCTGAACACACAACTACAACAACCCCCGCGCTTTCAACTACCACACTGGCTGATGTCAAATGGGTGGAACTTTACTCTGCACGAAGGCTTCGAAAAATCCGAGCGAATTCCGTCGTACTACAATGAGAAGATCAGTGTGTTGACATTGGTTGACGTTCAAAATGTAAACAAACTGTTATTACATTCCAGATGGACTACTTTGTTTACGCTAAACAATGCAGTTTCTTATAAGTATTTTTACTCTCTCAAGGATTTCAGTTCCTAATTTGAGCCTTTTACCTTGAGGATCTGCTTATCGTGCAAGTTTGTAGTGCGTTTTACCAACCAGCCACAAATTACATAGGAGGCCGGACTCTTCTGCGAACATGAATTGCAACAGCTAAATACCATAACCGCGGTATACTATATATATTTATATCATACCCGTTTCGTACTATTTTTGCATTAAAATCAGTAAAAAACGTTCTTCGGAATAGATTCCTTGAGCGGAGGTTCGGTTCCTTGGCGTGGGTTGATGCTAGAGCGCTAATGCCACTGGAATGCCTTTGCTACGCACAAACACACACACACATACGCACACACGCACACACCAATATTCATGTGCTCAGTGGCACACCCCCCTAGATTTAATGTTTTGCAGGCTACAAAACGACAAAAGACAGCGCAAACACTGGTAATAAAATACAGAATTGGTCCCACGATGGATAACAAAGGATTCATGTCACAAGCTGCGTAAGGCGAACGAATGACTCAGAAAACAAAACAACTCTCGCAATGGAGAGTGCTTGGTTGCAGAAAGGGTGATCCGAGGGCAAAAGCGTCCTGTGAAACAGTGATGCCATGAGTTCTCGATAAAAGCGTAAGGGCAAGAGGTAGTCTGGTTGTTCTGAAAACATCAATTTTCCTAAAGATCGTATTAAAAAGGAAACACCTACAAACGATTATTTTTCTTTGGGTTTTCATCACATCTCCAGTAATGCGAAGTCGCCCAATCTACTGATAAACATTACAGAGTCAAAAAGATGAAATATTAGGTAGTTTTTCCCATTTTGTGTATCCTAAAACTTTACACAAGCGAGGATGTAACAGGCGGGTGCTATTTTCAAATGAGGTCTTATTCTCTCAGTGAAATTGATCTGTGCTGGAAAAAAAACAGGAAGCATTGTGCATCTGTCTGGTTCCCAATTGGACCCATCAAGAAACTCGAAGAATTTCAACTCGCGATCTTCCAGCCACTGGTTGAACTCAACCTTTCTATCACCAGCGGCTGAACAGCAGTGTGCTAAGCTGTCAAGTAGGCGGGCCTTCGACAAATCATTTGCAAACATATTCGATTTTGGCAGGCTGAATCTCTCATTTATGATGATCCACTTCAACTGTATATAATTCACCAGATCAGTTTGCACGGTATTCGAGATATTACAATATGTCTTCAGCAACCTTATGAGTAGCGTGTTATGTCTAGACGACAACGTATTGTTATATCACGAGTATCGAATTAGCTGAACCTTGAGGCGGCCTGGTGCTGCATATTCAGTTGAGATACTTTGCAAATGAGAGATTCAGTCTGATTCAGTCTACCGTTAAATCGAAATTCGATGAGTTGGGCACACCAATCACATCGCTCAAGCGCGAACACGTTCGCCTGTTCAGATGTGAAAATTCAGATGCATCCAGCGTGCATTGGTGGATAAGTGGATGCGCGCTCATTTCGCATGTCGGATGTCCGGGGTTCAAGTCCCGGCAAGGCCGTTAGATATGCACTGCTAATGGTCCTTAATAGGGGCGAAACTTGAGTCCAGTGCTTCCCTCTAATGTGGGCTCACGGGAATGATTACGCCAAAACAGGAGGATGACCGTTCAAACGAGAGCGGTGTGACTATGAACGGATCTAAATTTGTATACGAACGCCAGTGGTCTGTGCTCTACTTATGGCTCAATCATAACACAAGCAGGACGAAAACTTTGCTAGTGCGCCTACCTGATAAGCCTCAAGAAGGGCGGCTCCGATCGTGAGTTGTCGATTGGTTTCCAGCAACCTTATTAGTAGTTCGTTACATCACGGATATATGCTTGTTGTGACTGTTCACTTATCTGAAGGTCCGAATACAGAAAAGCGCTTAAAAACATAGCAACGTAGTGATTTCGTCTGGATGCGTCAATGCGCATGTGAAAGTCCGCGCAAGTTGTGTTCACTGACTTCTTTCCATGAACATCGGTACGAATTTCCACACCCTGCGGTGTTCATAAGCTTAGATGTGTTATAGAAAGAAAAAACGTGTCTCACATGA